AATGAGCTGAAAATGCTCTGGGACAACCTGGATAAAAAGATCATCAACAGACAGGTCAGACACTGAGAAGGATCTAAACTTTAAAATCAGTGTGAAACGCTGTTCATGACCCATTTAGTGCCTGTAATGTGATCTATCCCAGGGTGCAACAGGATATTCAAAAGAGTAGCAGATTTTATCCACTGGGAATTGATTGGATTGTTAAAAATGAGTAACCAGAAAGACTATAAATGTGTACAAATAGGATCGATTTTGATTTCATGTCTAGGCCTGTTGCATTTATTGATTAATCATAAGTAGTTTTTTTAGATAACTGCAATAACTGCAGTTTAATTGTTCACTTTTTGCCATCCTAATAAGGGAAATTAAAGCATTTATAGAAATGCCATCTAATGCGCAATTAGTAAAGAATAAAGAATGCAAAAATAAAAAACACTAGTGTAAATTACACAAAGATAGTCAAAGGTCTTCCTTCATAGGAAATGAAGGATTTTGGGTAGGGATGTCCCAATCAAGTTTTTTTGTGCCCCTGATCTAATCCAAGTCATTGAATATTCAGTATCTGCCGATACAGAGTCCCAATCTGATACTTGTAATTTCCTAGTGCTTGGTACACACTTCAAGTACATTATAGTTATTAAAATCAATCCAATGTATACAGGGCCATGCAAAGAGTTTCTCAGGGGCAGGGGCTCAAATGTAAAAAGGGGCATCTATCACAATGGAGTAATTCCAATATAACAATTTCTACAGTAATTATATTTACAGGCCTATACATATTATAAATATGGGACTACTGATATAATACTTCTTGAATTTTATATGTACGATAAGCTATATAATTGCAACAAAATGAAAAATAATGGAAATAAGGATAGAAAGCATGATGCTCGCGAATGCCAGTCTGTCTGTGACAGAATTATTTCAAGACATTGCAACATTGAAAGGCATTTCAAATATGGGTAACACTTTACAATAAGGTTCATTAATTAACATTAGTTAACTGCTTTAGTTAACATGAACTAAGAATGAACAATACTTCTACAGCATTTATTAACCATAGTTAATGTTAATTTCAGCATTTACTAATGCATTATTAAAATCAAAAGTTGTGCTTGTTAACATGTATGCACAATGAACAATTGTATTTTCATTAACTAACATTAACAAAGATTAATAAATACTAAATAATGTATTGTTAATTGTTCATTAATGTTAGTTAATACATTAACTAACATTAACTAATGTTACCTTATTGTAAAGTGTTACCTCATTATGTGACATATTTCCAGCAATGCTGACTGTTTTTAAAGAAATTTAGACTGCTGAAAAGGAAGTCCAGCCCCAAACTCACACCCCTGATAAAGCTGATGTTGTCAACAATACTTGATGTTTCACTACACTATGCAAATGATAACATTATTATGATGACTGTTGTGTGGCCTGATCTCTTGTAGCACAAGCTGGAGGGAGCGCTGTTGGCTCTAGGGCAGTTCCAGCATGCTTTAGATGAACTTCTGGCTTGGCTCACTCATACTGAAGAGCTGCTTAATGAACAGAGGAAGGCCTGCGGCGACCCCAAAGCCATCGAGATCGAGCTCGCAAAGCACCACGTACGTCACAGTCATTGAGCCACAGAACCACTCAGATGTCAACAAGCATTGTTCAGCTCACGTATCGTCATTTCCTTCCATTGGGTAGGTGTTGCAGAATGATGTGCTGGCCCATAAGACCACGGTGGAGGCGGTGAACAAGGCCGGCAGTGACCTCATTGATTCCAGTGCTGGAGAGGAGGCGCGAGGTCTGCAGAACAAGCTGGAGAACCTCAACCAGCGCTGGAGGACTATCCTGGAGAAGACGGAGCAGAGAAGACAGTTTCTGGACAGTGCCTTGCTGCAGGTCAGGAGCCAACACGAACCAGCCAGAGACCTGGCAATGCTCTGGAATCTCAGAGGCTGAGCGTTTTCTAAAATGAAGATATGATTGATGATGTTCTCAACATGAGGCCAAAAATGTCCTCTCTTAATCTTAAAGAATGTGAAAGAGAAGCAGTAAAGCGATAGATGTCCATACACGCACATGCTCTCACTCAAAGAGTTTACTTTGATGTGAACACCGAACGCTGATGTTGAATGATTTGACCATACAAATTAAGAAGTAGAAACAATCACAAAAAACAATGTTCCCCTTATTCCCCCTTATTGTCATAAGGGTAAATTTTTTGAATAAATAAACTTTCCATTGATGTATGGTTCGTTATGATAGGACAATATGTGGCCGAGATACAACTATTTGAAAATCTGGAATCTGAGGGTGCAAAAAAATCAAAATATTGAGAAAATTGCCTTTAAAGTTGTCCAAATTAAGTTCTTAGCAATGCATATTACCAATCAAAAATTAAGTTTTGATTTATTTACAGTAAGAAATTTTCAAAATATCTTTATGGAACATGACCTTTACTTAATGTCCTAATGATTTTTGGCATAAAAGAAAAATCGATAATTTTGACCCATACAATGTATTTTTGGCTATTGCTACAAATATACGCCAGCGACTTAAGACTGCTTTTGTGCTCCAGGGTCACATATATGTATAATTAATAATGAGTTGACTGAAGAGCAACGTTATATGTATCAAATATAATTAATATAAAATGATACCTATGTCAACATTTTTAAAGTGTTTTTTAATAAATAAAAATAAAAAAGCACAATTGCTCTATAGACTGGAATCAAGATTTTAAGTTTAATTTTTTTCTCACATAAAACAGGGAGCAAGGAAATACTGTATATTGTTGTTTATTGACTATGCTAACTCTTTTTGAATCCAGACACCATTCTTGTCTCAGAATTGAGAGATTTCCTACAAACTTGCCATTTTTAAGACTAATAATCTGTGCTCATTAATCAAGCCTCTCCCTTGAATCTCACCCCTCCGGCTGGCGGTAATGAATGTGTGACTCTATTGTTGTGACACTGGCCGATCTGTTTTCAGGCTCAAGGTTTCCATGGTGAGATTGAAGACATGCAGCGGTGGCTGAAAGACACAGAGCGTCAGCTGTTAGCATCAAAGGCCCTCGGAGGCTTACCAGACACGGCCCGAGAGCAGCTTAACACCCATCTGGTATGTGTTTAATACTACAACAGATCTGCCACGTATGGCGAGCTTGTAACAACTAACCAACACCATCTTTATTTTACATCTCAACGACTGTGATCAATAGAATTATGCATTAGTTATTGAGAACAGTTTTGGTTGGTTTGGTTTAAGCATTTTATTAGAGAATGTTTATCACAGCAGTCTTGTTTAGGGGAATAATGCACCCAAAATTGAACAATGTGTCATCATGCACTCATTGTCATGACAATACAAACCCATATGACTTACTTTCCTCCTTAAAGGGATAGTTCAGCCAAAAATGAAAAGTTGCTGTTAATTTATTTTCTTCAGTAGAACAGTACAGAAGATTTTTAGCTGAAACCCTGGTCCCTGGTGATTCATTAAATGCAAGTCAGCGGCTGCCCGTGTTTGAGAATAAAAAAAGCATTTTAAGAAACACAAAATTATTACCCATGGCTCCTGACGGTCTGGAGTGATGTCCGGTTCACGAACAAATCATTCTTTAATGCAACATGAAAAATCTCCAAGCTGATCTTTTCATGCAAAATAGAAGCATACAGTGATCAGAATCAAGCTCCGAAAATGTCCAAAGCACTATATAGAAGTGTGTGTTTTAGTGGGGGTTTTTTTATTTATGAACTACATTCACAGTTCTTATTGGAGCCTGACAGACCCTGGTCTGTAATTTCTTTGCATGATTTCCAAAATCTAATTTTGTGTTGCATAGAAGGAAAATTCTTACAGGTTTAGAATGATATAAGGGCGATTAAATGTTGACAGTTTTCATTTTTGGCTGAACTAGTCCTTTTAAACTAACATAAGGATGAAAAACGCAACACAAACGGCTTTATCTAATTGTATGAAAGTGTAATAAAAAAAAATCTGTCCCAGTTTTCATGAAACATTTTATAGACTTCACACTTTCTGATTTCTGCTGATGTGCAAAAAAAAAAATATTTACGCTCGCATATCAGAAATAACTCTTTGAATAGTCAACATATGTCAGGTTGTCAGTAAACACGATGTCTCTCTGTGTGTTTGTAGGAGCTCTGCAGTACACTGGAAGCCAAGGAGGAAATATATAAGCAGCTTCTTGACCGAGGGCAGCAGATTTTGGCCTTGACCCCTGAGGGTCAAGACAGCACCACTGAACTGGACCTTCGCAACCTGCAGGAGAAGTGGGAATGTGTTCAGGCCAAAGTGACAGAGAGGAAGGTGAGAGTCTGATTTACTCTCTCTACTCTGTTAGGGCTCTCTGTGTTCTTCCTGTCAGACTGACTCATTCTCATCATCATCACTGGGCTGTCGGCTGATTATGTTCATGTAGCTGTGATATCAGATCTGTGAGCTGTTGTGCTTTGACGTGGTCAGATGAATGATTCTTTTTCACTCCAGCACAAGCCCAAAGTGAGTTATAAATCACTACAGAACAAAGTAGAGTTGTCTGCGGTCTCTACAAAGTTGCTGAAGTGGAATAAACCACAAGTTCAGCCAAAAACAAAACTTCTGTCATCATCATTCCACATCTATATGATTTGTTTTTTCTTCTGTGCCGCTCAAAAGGAGAACATTTTAAGGATGAACACGCTTCTCTTTTACATACAATGAATGCATATGGTATAAAATGTATAAAATGGACCAAAACTCCATGAAAGCAGCTTGAAAAAGTAAGGTACAGTAAAAATAAGACTTGAGTGCTGTATTCTTAAAATATACAGTATATAGGTGAGTAAATGATAGCTACACATTCAGATCTGGCTGTCAGATTAATGCCATTTTTGATTTAGGTCGCTTTGCTGTGTTGAATCTGGACTTGGCAAAGACGTTCGTTTACAACAGGAATTTGACCACACACGCTCTTGTCAGAACCTCGTCTGTGATAGTCAAGTCATCCTTGAATGTTTGCAGCTTTTGCAAATATACCTCCTCACATGTGATGCTAACAAGACATCACATGACATGTACTGAGTCACATGCTGCTGGATGAGATCATTGAATGACTGTGATCCAGCGGTGCAAGGGAAGTTCCTGTGTCTCATATCCTCCTCAGTGACATGAGGAAAATGCTCCAAAATAACCGAGATGTTTCATGTTTCACAAAATATCAAGAAGTGTCTTGCCATGTCTTGTTACTAACTTGCTGTAGTAAGCAGTGCTAAGGATTGATTTCAAACGCGTTTCCCAAACATTTCTCCATCCTCATCTTCCTTTGTCAAACTAGTTTATTCTCTACAATAAAGCCAAACAGCTTATTTCACACTTCGGGAAAGCAACCTACAAATGACTCACAGTTGAATCTGAGATGAAAGGATGTGTTTGTGTTTGATCGGCCATAGGTGAAACTGGAGGAGGCTCTGGCGATGGCCACAGACTTCCATAACTCACTACAGGATTTCATAAACTGGCTGACGCAGGCCGAACAGACCCTTACTATGGTCTCCCCTGCCTCCCTCATCCTGGAGACCGTCATGTTCCAGATAGATGAGCATAAGGTCAGTGCTCTTTGACATGATATGCAACATGATATACAAGTCTAACAAAAACTTTCATGCAGCTTACTGTGGCTTACTGCTAAATCTCAGCATGAAATGAAAACTCACTCCATTTATTTTTTAAATGCATGTTATTGATCTTATTGTGAACAATTCATCTGTGCATGTTTTGCATAAAACGTTTTGCATCATGTAATAACAGAGTAATGTGACAACTACACATAAGTATTATATTAATAATGTAATAAAATGTTCATAATGTAATACTTTTCTAAAACGTAATAAAATCCCAAGCTAATGTAATATTTTTTACATTGTAAGAAATGTATTACATTATAAATTCACTAAAAACATTGTCATATTATTATAATTGTAATAATAAAATGCACCAGATATAAATATTCATGCAATTATTATTATTATTATTATTAATGTTGTTGTTGCTGTGCATTATTTCTTATAAATACATAAGCATGTGAAATATATAAAATATTTTTTAAATTGACAACAAAATGTATACATACTGTTAAATGACAAACTGTACAATACCAACACTGTATACAACGTATAGCCTAAAAAAGCCCTCTTCAGTAACTGCAACAAGGACTCTGTAAAACAAAGTGTTACTGATTATTATTATAATTTAAACATTGTTTCACAGTACTTTATGTGCTTGTTTATCAAGCTGTGATTGCATTATAAGTTGCTACAGTGTGATCATAATGTAATACATTTCTCATAAAATAATCTATTACGTTATGAGAAAATTTTTTATTATCTGTTGCTACTTGCATTTCATTATGACTTTAAATGAGCCATATTCTTGCAATTGAAAGAAACAGTCCTTTTCCAAAATTACGTTTTTTCCCCCTTCTTTCTTAAAATGGATCTGCTGGAATTGCAGGTGTTTGTGACTGAGGTGAACTCACATCGGGATCAGATCATCGAGCTGGATAAGACAGGAACACACCTCAAGTACTTCAGTCAGAAACAGGACGTGGTGTTGATCAAGAACCTCCTGCTGAGCGTTCAAGGCCGCTGGGAGAAGGTCGTGCAGCGATCAGTGGAGAGAGGACGCCTGCTGGACGATGCCAGGAAACGTGCCAAACAGGTGGGAGAGGACCCCTGGGATAGAACTCATTTAAAAGCCATGCTTTTTGTAATCACACATCCTTGCTAGATATAGTCACTATAGGAATGAATGAATCACAGAGAACTTAATTTGGCTTCTTTTGCGACTGATCAACGTAATGAGACTCTTTTATGTCAAAGTGATTTTACACTCTTTGATATAACACACCTAAATTGTCAATGTGGTAGATTTTTTTTTAAACTCATAACATAAGAGGATATGAAGATCACTCATGGGCAGCAACATACTGTGGGGATTCTTCTTGACTGTGAAAGGGTCTGCATAAAGGGTATAGGATAAAATAAATATAGGACAGTACCGGGAAATCCCTGTATTTTCCCTGTAAGACAAGACACAAGATTTGTAATTCCCAATGCATAAAGCCAGAGCTTCACAGGAATGGCTTAAAACAACAATGTTGATGTCCTGGTCAAAGTCCAAGTCCAATTGAAAATTTATGAGGGGACTTGAAAACGGCTGTGCACTCACAAGCTCCATGCAGCCAGACTGAGCTGGAGCTACAAAGAAGAATGAGAAACATTGCAGTGGCCAGAAGTGCAGAGCTGATAATAAAGACCTACAGTATCAACACAGATTACTTGGGAATTGCTGCCAAAGGCGCATCTGATAAATACTGACCTGAGGGGTTGACTTTGTATGCAAACGATTATTTAGTAACTGTAATTGATTTTTGAGCAAACTTGTTGGACATGACGGAATTTTATTTTTTTTGTTCAGTGTAAAAAAAGCCAAAAGAAATTCTCTGTGGTTCAATCATGGAAAAAAGAAAATGCTGTAATAATACTGCGTACTGCACTGATGGATTCTCACGCTCTCATCTTCTGCAGTTCCATGAGACCTGGAACAAACTGATGGAGTGGCTGGAAGAGTCTGAGAGAGCGCTGGACTCTGAGCTGGAGATCGCTAATGATCCGGACAAGATCAAGATGCAGTTATCCCAGCACAAGGTGACCGACACCAGTCCATTTCCCTGTCCAATACACGTCTGGTATTAAGATGTGTTCGCAGTGATCCCATCACAAGCGGTCAGCCGAGACACCATTTCCACATGCTGATAGTTATATAAACACAGCCACTATGCTAAAACTAGGTAAAGAACTAGTCTGGCCAACTAGCAGTTGACCTGTCTTAAAAAAATGAGATTACTAACTTGTAAAACTAGTCTTAAACCATTTATGCAACCGGCCACTGGTATTAACATGCGTTCCTAATGCCTCTCCTGTGAGCACTTGTGTTCAGTTTTCGTCGAGACGCTCCCTTCTTATTTTGACACACTCTACATCACTTTCATGGGGATGAAAATTGAACAAACAAACCCATGTTACACAGCTTATGAGCGAGAGGGAATGGAAGCAAATAAAAAGGGTTAGGAGTGCAGCTGTAATTGGCGATTGTAATCCATGTGGACAACACACCAAAGTTTAAATCGCTTGTTTTGCTGTGAGAGATCACGTGAATCTGTTACGTTTAGGCTATGTTTCACCGTGGTCACATTCAGGACAGATGAGCATTTAAACTACACAATGCACTGAACAATTTACTCATTCGCACCTATATTTGGCGCTGACCACTTGTACTTCAATCACAAAAAATGGATGTAAATGGCAGGTTTAAATGGGGTCATATAGACTTCCTGTTCACACCATGTTTGTATCCCCCATCTGTGAATGTGGAACAACTGACGGACAGTGTGAATCACAATACCAGGTGCTTTTTCACTCACGGCTATTGTGTTTTTCACTGACTGTGGGTCATAAGAAGTGGCATCCTGTTATACTTCTGTCTAATTAATTCCTCCAATTTTTGGGAGATAATCTTTATATTTTAAAGAGGTGTACATGATTTTTTTTTTTCAGAAGTTTAAAGAGTTCACCGTTTCAGGCCACACAATGCCTAAAAAATGGAAGTAAACAGACTGAGCATGTTAGATGTTTTTCAATTGCAATTCTTTAAAACTGAAGTCAGGCTCCTCAGTCATAGATGATGTGCACCATCAGTGGTTTTAAAGCAGGATACGAGTAGGATTGTGTGATCCTGATCTTAGTGCTGCATGTTGGTATGTAATTAACAGCTCAGCAGTGCTTCAGATGTTCTGATGAGTCAGTCACAAATACAAATGGCAGGATCTGATGACATCAGGCTTCCTGGAAGACCTCACAGGATGGCTTGCGGGACGCGTGCCCTTGAGCTACATTCGAATGACCCTTCGCCTCTGTTTGTCTTGTGTGGGGGGGATTGTAGGAGTTCCAGAAAACTCTGGGCAGCAAGCATTCGGTGTGTGACACCACCAGTCGCACGGGCCGAGCTTTGAAGGACAAGACCTCCTTGCAAGATGACAACCAGAAACTGGATGACATGCTCAGTGAGCTCAGGGACAAATGGGACACAGTCTGCGGGAAATCTGTGGAGAGGTACATGCGCATTTGGGTGGATTTCAGAAAAACACATATCCATCCCCCCTATTAAAAATAGATGTATACAGTTTGCATAAACAAAATTAAGCCTATTTCAGGCTTTATTAAAATTAGGCTTATTTTAGAATTAGATTTGTCAGAACACCTAAAATATATATTTTCCAGTAAGGTCCTATTAGTAAATGTTAGTTAATGCATTAACTAACAATGAGCAGTACGTTTGTTACAGTATTTATTTGTTAATATTAGCTAATAAAAATACAACTGTTCATTGTTAGTTCATGTTAGCTCAGATCCATTAAATAATAACAGATACAACTTGTGCTTTTATTGTATTAGTAAACATCAAAATGAACTAAAACTACAATAAAATACCAAGTTCTGTCATGAAACTCTAGATGGCGCAGGCTGATGGGTCCTTAACGTAACTGATGACATTCTTTGCATTAAATGACTTGTCACAAGCTGATTGGTTCATGTTGCATACGCAGCCAATGAGCTTGCTGCTTTACATTTAAATGGCTGATTAGCATTCGCTTGAGCTTTGCAACGCGCTTTCAGAGTTCCTCTGAAACCCTCCACCTTCCCCAGCTCCACCTGTATAGATCTGCTACGGGGTTATTTTATATGCTATTTGTGCAGCAGCAGTATGTCTTAAATACTCACAGCACCATATCAGCTTATGTATTGGCAGTAGCAAGTTCCTGTACTTGCTTGCAGCAGCAGCAATAATCTACAACTACAGCAATAACCAACAGCAGCAGCAGCAGCTTAGCAGATCTTTTCCGCCAAGACCAAATACATTAACATTGTCATCCATTACCATGCTAAAATCTTCAGAGAGTTCTCATGATAGAACTAAAATTAACCATGCTTTAGATGTATTTTTCATTGTTAGCTGATGTTAACTAATGTAGTTAACTAATGCTAACAAATGAAACCTTATTTTAAAGTGTTACCCATTTTTCCTTTATGCATTCATATGAATTCAGACCTCAAATATTAATGTTGAGTAAACAATATTTAATATCTGTGTTATTTGTCAACTAACTGTCCATGATTCATGGTGAGACAAAAGGATATGTTGTCACAACTGTGTATTTGACATCATATGGGCTATTTTTTTTCTACAGGCAGAATAAGCTGGAGGAGGCTCTGCTGTTCTCAGGTCAGTTCACAGACGCACTGCAGGCTCTCATCGACTGGCTCTATAAAGTGGAACCACAGCTTGCTGAAGATCAGCCCGTGCATGGAGACATAGACCTCGTCCTGAACCTCATCGACAGCCATAAGGTACCCACATGAGTTTGACTGATTTACACAACCTGCTTCTTCAATACTGAACTGTAGGACATGATATGAGTGAGTGAATGAATGAATGAAATTGATATCTAAAGATACAGATATCTAAAGTAATGATACAATATCACGAAAAACTACCACAATATATTATATGATTGTTTTGGCACAGCCCTAGATATTTTTAATATTCTCTCATCATTTTCAGGATTTTAAAAACTTCATAAGCACATTGTAAAATAAATCCATGTACAGTGGTGTGAAAACGTTTTTGCCCCCTTCCTGTTTTATTCATTGTTTGCATATTTGTCACACTTAAAAGATTCAGATCATCAAACAAATTTGAATATTACACAAAGATAACCTGAGTAAATACAAACTGCAGTTTTGAAATTATGATTTCATTTATTAAGGGAATAAAGCTGTCCAAACCTGCCTGGCACTACGTGAAAAAGTAATTGCCCCCTAAATCTAATAACTGGTTGTGCCACCCTTTGCAGCAACAACTGCAATCAAGCGTTTGCGATAAATGGCAATGAAAAAACAGGAAGGGGGCAAAAACTTTTTCACACCACTGTAAATTGAACGGTGTATTCCAATTCTTCTGAAGAGAAATGATTTGCTTTACTGGACGATTTAATTTAGGCTTTTATTCACATATGTGACCCTGGACCACAAAACCAGTCTTAAGTCGCTGGGATATATTTGTAGCAATAGCCAAAAATACATTGTATGGGTCAAAATTATCTATTTTTCTTTTATGCCAAAAATCATTAGGACATTAAGTAAAGATCATGTTCCATGAAGATGTTTTGTAAATTTCCTACTGTAAATATATCAAAACTTAATTTTTGATTAGTAATATGCATTGCTAAGAACTTCATTTGGACAACTTTAAAGGCGATTTTCTCAATATTTAGATTTTTTTGCACCCTCAGATTCCAGATTTTCAAATAGTTGTATCTCGGCCAAATTTGTCCTATCCTAACAAACCATACATCAATGGAGAGCTTATTTATTCAGCTTTGACATGGTGTATAAATCTCAATTTAAAAAAAATGACCCTTATGACTGGTTTTGTGGTCAATGTTGATCAATGCGCATACATAGAGCACATCAAATACTGTAATCAACAGAAGCTTAAACTCGACGTGCCAGAACAAACCTTACCTAAAATACTGTACAAATCTAGTTAAAAATAACAATAATTATATACGTTGATGACACAGGATATAACTTGGTGGGTACCGCACATGCTCATGACTCAAAAGAGCAGTTGTACATGACGGGACATCCAGTCTGACCCATGCCATGCTCTGATCTCAGTACCGCTGCTGTGTGCATGTGCATGTTTCAAGCCTTGAGCAGCTTTCCTAAAATATCCGTCCGCGTGTTTTTAACTTCTTGGTTCTGTGGCAAGAATAAAATATAATTAAACTGTAGTATCATCAGAGGTAGTGTAATATGACAGAACCCACTGGTTTCAGTTAGAGGTGACAGGAGCGCTGGCAAGACGGACTCAAACACATTGCTAGAGTAGACATCAGAACACACTTGAGCTGATGAGCCTAGAGGTGACCTCATTCACGCTCGTAATTGAGGCCTTAGCCTGAGCAAATGATCACCAGCAGTCTTCTGACTATGTTTGGTGCTGTTTACGCATGATTTCTATGGATGCAATCAAGAACTGGGTGATCTGGCTAAAAGAAATTCCAGCTTTTAGACAAGATTCTATAAATATCTCAGAATTTATGTAGTCGCAAGATAAAGAAGGATCACCTAATTTGATTCATATTTCATACACCACATCATCAAAGTCACAGAGCCAACATCCTTTTTTTTTGTTGTAATGACCAATGCTGAAGCAAAGTCATAGGCTGCATAATTAAAACCTGGTGATGTGCAAATGTCGTAAAGCCTGGCTGTTGATAACGTTATGAGCGTGATTGATAGCAATGGACAAGTACCTCTTAACTGGTCCCTAATGTGATGACATCAGAGATGGACATGGGCTCTGGCGTGACATACTGTAGACAGCATTGCACAGGCGCACAAAATGTGATTGATTATAAAAATAATTCACTAAGTACTGGAAATAGTTAGTAAAAAACTGGTGTCTTGAAATCGAATTACAGCTTAACTGTTTAACCCAACATCTATCCATGCTATATACGTTTTATGATTATTAGTGCATCACATTAGCATTAGGAGTTTTAGAAAATGCATATATATGATAATATTGCTGCCTATGTAGAGCTTTCCAAATCACTCATTTATGAGGTTCCATTTCAGTTAGAATGCTGTCTATATAGGCAGCTAAAAGTGGATGGGTTGAATGTTGAATGTATTTCTCCATGTGTACTGCAGGGTTTCCAGAAAGAGTTGGGCAAAAGGACTGGCAGCGTGCAGGCTTTGAAGCACTCGGCCCGTGAGCTTATTGAGAGCAGCCACGATGACTCGTCCTGGGTCAAAGTTCAGATGCAAGAGCTGAGCACGCGCTGGGAGACGGTGTGCAGCCTCTCTGTGTCCAAACAGACACGGCTCGAGCAGGCACTGTGTCAGGTAAGACATGCCGTCTGTCATCAGCAATCACGCTGCCAGATGTTACACTCATGACCGCTTTTAATAACAATTTTGACCGTTAGAATAAAACAAGTTACTGTAAAAACATCTATGTTAATTACCACGGTTATGATTGGCTAACCCTGCATGTCAAATTATTATCAAAACTAACTTACAAGTGTCAGAATTGCTGTCAGATCCAATAGAGTGTGTGTGCTGCTCCAGCCTTCAAAGGAAGTTTTTGTTTATGAAAGTAACAGTATGTTTGATAGTGCAATGAACTCCAAAACATAGGGCTTCAAGAGTCACGGAAAACGTAAAATTATAAAAAAAAAAAAAATGTTCTTTGCGAATGCACATTTTTTACACATTTGTGCATCGTTCCTCAGGCTGAGGAGTTCCACTCCACTGTTCATATCTTACTGGAGTGGCTTGCAGAGGCCGAGCAGAGCCTTCGCTTCCACGGTGCCTTGCCTGACGATGAAGAAGCCCTCCGCGCTCTCATTGAACAGCACAAGGCAAGTTTCCCACAACAATGGCAAAGAATCCACATGAGAAAAATTATTCAGTGTGACGTTTACCTTGTAAAACCTTTTAGTGGCCATAGCATATCAGTATTTACTGGCAAAAATGATGGACCACAGTAAACACAAAAAATGAAATCGTATCTGTTCTACATTACAGCATTGAGTTCAAATGCAAGTGTGTGCCAGAGGGATCGTAATCTATCCAAGACAGAACTCTTGACATTTTTTATTAGCTCCACTCATAATGTGAGGTAGTGATCCGTAGCCCGGTCTCTCTCCACATCCAACTGAGTAACAAAAGCCATACATGGCTTCAAATCTTTATTAACTACTGCTTGCCAGGAAAGTGTTCAACCCATATTTCAACCCATATAGTGTGATCTCATATTCAATATCCAAAATAGTCTGTTCCCCGAGACATTATTCACGTCCACAGTTTGAGGAAGCAAACATCCTGGGAGATGATGGGGTTTCTCCTTAGGTTTAAACACCAGTTATTAATGATAGGTAGTAATACATAATCTCTGCATACTGGGAATAGGATGCCATCGATGGCATACATACTCTACATAATCATGTTTTTGAAGTAACATTTTTTAAATAAGTAATTTAACAAATTACATTTTAAATGTACACCATAATACTCAAGTACATTTTTTTTCAGTTATGTATGTGGTCTAATATTTTTGTATTTTTGCTTTTTTTTTTTGGTATTTATTTTCACATTATTTTAAAATGATCTTACCTTGCTATTTCACATCCATTTATTTATTTGGTAAGTAGCCATGTAATAATGTATTCTTTGCATCAGGATCCTGATCACCCTGTCTGAGTATAGTTTATAATAGCTGACTGTACATTAGCATTAGGATCATGCAGCAGTATTGCTGGAGATGGGCTGCTCTTTGTGTAACCATGACCATTTGCTAATGGAAGAATACATGCAGGAGTTTATGAAGAAGCTGGAGGAGAAGCGACTGGCCCTGAATAAAGCCACAAGCATGGGAGAGGCAATCCTGTCCATCTGCCACCCAGACTCCATCACCACCATCAAACACTGGAACACCATCATCAAAGCGCGGTTTGAGGAGGTTTGTCTATTTCTATAAGTTTTCTGTTATTTTCGAAAGCTGTGTGAAGGCAGCCAGATCAAGAAAATATTTTCCTGTTTTGTGTGCTACCTCAAATATCTGGGCTGGTAACCAAAAGGTTGTAGGTCGGATCGCTCGATGGGTGATTCATAACTGTTAAAGGGGACATCGGATGAAATTTTCACTTTTATCTTTTTTGCATCTAGTTAGGTTTCTGGCGTGTCTGCCAGCTCAGAAAAGCTGAAAAGAAAACACACAGCCAGTTCATTATGGGCTGTCTGAGTCTGAAACTGTGTCATCCAGTGAGCTGTTTCAATTTGCAGCCAGTTTCTACGTAGCTAGCTAACTGTTTGAATAAGACCAACTCTTAGCCAGAGTCCAAGGCAGCAATTCACGCGTCTTGTGTCGACATGCCCCACAGAAGAGAGGGGCGGGCTGAGCAGAGCTCATTATCATTTAAAGAGACATGCACCGAAACGGCTCGCTGTGAACAGAGCTGTTTTTGACAGGGTAAAAAGGGTGTTGTTTTACACAACCACTGAGGAACTTTAACCAAAGTATGTTGCAGACATTTCATGAAGACCCTAAAGAATCATACCAACTTGTGGAAAGTGGGCATCCGATGTCCCTTTTAACAGTCGACGCTGTCTACAGTATGATCTGATTTCTGCGTCTGTATCAGGTAACAGCCTGGGCACGTCAGCACCAGCAGAGACTCTCCAGTGCTCTGGCCGAACTGCTGGCCACGCAAGAACTGCTGGAGAACCTGCTGAACTGGCTAAAGTGGGCTGAAACCACACTCGGAGAGAAAGACAAGGAACCTCTTCCTCAAGAGTTAGAGGAAGTCAAATCGCTCATTGCTGAGCACCAGGTAGCATCAAGAGCTGTATGAAGGGCTCACTTTAACACCTTTACACAGTTAGTCAAAGTTTAGTTGTATGAATTATAGAAACAGCTGTTTGTGTTTTTTGTGTACCAGACATTCATGGAAGAGATGACCAGAAATCAACCAGACGTGGATAAAATCACCAAAACTCATAAGAGAAAAGCCACAGCGGATCCTCCGGTTCAGTCTCAAATCCCTATTCTAGGGAAAGGACGAACAGCCAGTGAGTACCAGCATCCAAGCTGAGTCCAGTTTCTCAATTCAATTTGGCAAAGACTTCACATGGTCTTCACGACAGTCCTTGTTGTAGACTGTGCATGCACCATAGCTGGACCTCAGTGAACAATAGCAAGCTTTAGCATGATTTGAGCAAAATAAAAACTGAGCAGGATTTGATATTTAGGTTTAGGGTTCAGCGCTAATTCTAGGGACTGGGGTAAGAGTTTGAGAAGAGGCTTGAAAGTTAGGGGTTGTGGTTAGGAGTAGGAATCAGTTTAGGGTTAGAGCATGGGATAGGGTTTGTTAATACCTTGGCAGCGTCTGAAATCGCATACTGTCTGAATAGGTACTGTACTTCTTTTGAATAAGTAAATATCTTGCAATCATTAAAAAGTATGTTCTATAAAGTATGAATGTGTGTAGTATAAGTTTAATCCAGATATACTACATTGGCTATTTTGTCATTGTCATGTGACCCTACCAGCATCAGTTGTGTTGCATCACTGCCATTCACAAATCCACATCCATGGCCTCGTGGGATAGTAAAGTATTCATCAGAGATGCACTTCAGTGCCAGTAGTAGCCCTGTTGAAAAACCAGCATATGCTGGTTAGTAGAGCTGCACGATTCTGGATAATTTGGGAATCACAATTTTTTTTTGTCTCAAATAGAGATCACGATTCTCCCACGATTCTGAACTAAACAAAATAATGTGTGGCAAAATATTATTGCTGCAGTCTATTTAAAAGTGTTTAATTAATTTGAATGAATTATTAAACATTTTAATATACACTACCAGTCAAAAGATTTTGAACAGTAAGATTTTTAATGTTTTTTAAAGAATTCTCTTCTGCTCACCAAGCCTGCATTTATTTGATACAAAATACAGCAAAAGCAGTAATACTGTGAAATATTTTCACTATTTAAAATAACTGCTTTCTATTTGAATATATTTTAAAATGTAATTTATTTCTGTGATCAAAGCTGAATTTTCAGCATCATTCCTCCAGTCTTCAGAGTCACATGATCCTTCAGAAATCATTCTAATATGCTGATTTGCTGCTCAAGAAACATTTTATTATTATTATTATTATTTTCAATATTTTAAACACTTTGAGTAATTTTTTTTCAGGATACTTTGATGAATAGAAAGATCAGCATTCATCTGAAATAAAAAGCTTTTGTAACATTATACACTCTACCATTCAAAAGGAAATATATTTCATTTTAAAATATATTCAAATAAAAAGTTATTTTAAATAATACAAATATTTCAAAATTGTACTGTTTTTGCTGTACTTTGGATCAAATAAAAGCAGGCTTGGTGAGCAGAAGACTTTTAACTTCTTGAAAAAAAACATTAAAAATCTTACTGTTAAAGTTTCAGATAAATGTTGCTTTGAAATATATTTCATTTTAAAATATATTCAAATAAAAAGTTATTTTAAATAATACAAATATTTCAACATTGTACTGTTTTTGCTGTACTTTGGATCAAATAAATGCAGGTTTGGTGAGCAGAAGAGACTTAAAAAAAAACATTAAAAATATTACGGTTCAAAAACTTTTGACTGGTAGTGTATATGTATTTAAAATATAATATATTTAATACACCAATTTAATATTAAAATTATGAAAAATTTGTTTGAATCAATGATTCAACGACTCACTTATAAACCTACTGGATGAATCAGCGTTTTTGAACGATTCTCTTGAATAAATGATTCATTCAATTATACATTTTTGAAGTCACTTTTCGCCACCTCGTGGCGAAACAATGCAATCGACACAAACGTTATGTGGCAGTTACTTTCAAATGCGGATTTGCTCTATTTTGGTCGCGCTACCATAGACATCAATGTTTATATCTGAATTATAAACTTTCATCCCAGTATTTCTGTGATAATATGAATGACTGTAAGACAAATATGTTTCTTAACCAAACATGGTAACTGCTCTCTGTGTGTCAGCAGCCGTGCGAACGCAGATTTGAATGATCCGGTAAGACTTTGTCAAAGGTTTAATAGACACGGGAGAATCGTTGTCATTTAGAAATTAGATCGTGTGGTTGTCTGAATCGAGATCGCGATCTTTTAACGATTAATCGTGCAGCTCTACTGGTTAGGTATGTTTTGAAGCATGGCTGCTGGTTTAAGCTGGTCGTGTGCTGGACCTGCTTTAAGTAACATTTTGGTCTATGTCTAAAGAAAATATTTTAAGTATGGTAGTCTTTGCAATAAATAATCTTTTTATTTTATATGAATGTTTTCATTTTTGGGATCATTATTTTGGATTAATATTAAATCAAAATGTAAGATTTGAACCAAACCACAACAATAATTTGAGAACAACTGAAATTTGGCCGTAACATTTTTTTTAAAAGTTGGTCCAAGTTGTTTTTTGTTTTTTTAAGTTTTTTTTTGGTGTGTGTGTGTGTGTACTTTTCTCTTACTATTTTATACACAATGTGAATGTGGATATACTATTCTTTACACATACTATTTTTTGCATTCTATATAGTAAGGAAGTATGTGATTTCAGATGGAGTCCTAGTGTAGACTAGTGTTTAAAGATCTGGGCCCGTATTCACAAAATATTTGATCTTACCACTAAGAGTTCTCCTAAATAGCAGTACAAGTTTTTAGCAAAGAGTTTTCTCTTAAAACCTATTCACAAAGCTGCTGAGACAAACTTTTACTAAGGAATAGAGAGAAGTCTTATGCTAAGAGTAAGGGGGCGGGGTTGACCTTGTTGCTATAGATGATGTCAGCATGCTTACTAACTATGCCCACAGTGATTGGCTGATAGTCTCTGTCAGAGATTTATTCATGGCAATATTTTAGAGTAAAGATAAAGGTTTAAAAATAAAAATGTTGCCACATTCAAATAAAGATTTTAAAATGCAGGCTAAGTGTCACTAATTAAACAAGTATGTGTTCAGCTAATTGTCAGCCTCTTACATGTATGCTTCTCATAATTAGTGAATATGCATATAAACAGCCTTTTAATAAACAGAGTAGAATAATCATGGCTGATAGTAAGACATGCAAACGTAAAAGAAAACCAAACTGGACGCAAGCACAGCTGTTACTTTATGCCCAACTGCTTAATGAAAACAAGGACATAATCAAAGGAAAATTTGGAGTTGGGATAACCTTCAAAACCAAAGGTGATACCTTTTATAAAAGCTCATTGTCGTCAAATATTTCTAAAATGTTTACGTTCCGAGGCTGATTGCCGGCAACAGCCATTTTAGGATAGTTTGTGGTTCGGTCTTAGTGACTTAGGAGGCCTCTTCACTACTCCTAACGTTTCACAGATTTAGGAGCTAATTTTAGTGCTAAAATGCTTTGTGAAATACTTTTAGATCAAAAATGTAGGAGTCCTAAATTTAGGACTGACTATTTTTAAGATTTTCTCCTAAATCTGCGAGTTACGAGCTACTTTTAGCCTCAAGATGTTTTGTGAATACGGGCCCTGGGCTCTTAACCAAAAAGCTGTAGGTTCAAATCCTAAAAACTTTTGTCCAACCACTTATGACTAGGCATGGGCCGGTATGAGATTTTGACGGTATGATAACCTTAAGCAAAAAATATCACGGTTTCACGGTATCATTGTTACAGCTCTAAAAATTTTTCTTTTTTTCCACTGAACACAATATATTTTATTTTTGAGCAACATACAGAATATTTGCAACAGTAGTATTTGTATATTTTTTCTTTGATTTGTTTCCTAAAAAGAAGAAAAATAAAGACTGACATCTTTATTTAACCTATTTAACTAATTTAATTTTAGTTTTTCTGAAATGTTTGCTGAATTGTGGGCTGTCCTGCAGCTCTTAATGTGGATGGTTGATTTGCTGCTAGAGCTACTGCTGCCCTATAAAGAAGAAAAATAAAGACTGACATCTTTATTTAACCTATTTAACTAATTTAATTTTAGTTACATAATTCATATACATATAATTTATATCATTTCATATCATTTAGTTATATAATTTCATATACATCATTTGATTTAATAATAACCCAATTTGAAGTAAAAACAGAATGTTCTGACTAGCTTTGTGAAATTCTGCTACATGCCTGAATGAAACAAACAGCAGAAGCTCTGAATGAGACGCAGATTCACTCTCTGACAGCAGGAGGCGCTCATGGAACAGCAGATACAGCATTTCCTTGGTTACCGCTGTAAACAAAGCAGCGCTGCGCTGAAACACTGCTTTAATGTGAATTATACAGAGACGAGATGAAAAGAAAATAGGTGGAGGGTTTCTGAAGTGCGCTGCAAACTGCTACAGCAAACAAAAGCCAGGTATTTGAATATTGAGCAAGCTCATTGGCTACCGATACAGGAGAGAACCAATCAGCTGCCATGTGATGATGTCGCCAGGTCAGATTGAGCTAGACCTATCGGACTGCGCCATTCAGAGTTTCATGCCAGAACTCTGTATATGTATTGTACTGTATATCCGAATCAATTTCAGATACTAATACCAGATATATATTAATGTTTAATATTTCCTGCATAATTACGTACATAAAGAAATATATTTTATGTATTTCAAGTGTGTAGCTCACACACCCACCTTAACAATTGCAATATAGCACTTATCCTGCCCGAAATGACCATAAATATTGCAGATAACATCGGAAGTAAAAATTAATTTACATACACATATCTTAAAGACTAATCCTGTGTGACTGATATGCTTCAAATCAGGTGATTTTAGGTCAGTGTTTTGGCTGTCAGTCAATGAAGCTCTCAGCCGGTAGGAATAGTAAGATGGCTGCTCGAACACTTCCGGTGGCTTCCCCGTTGAATGGCAGTTTAGAACGCGATGAGCGATCCAGTCATATATATAGATCAGTGGTTACTACTCGTATTCCTACACTTTCAGTCTTTGCGGAGACATGAAAAACAGCACATACCGCAGAAACGGTATAACGGAAAATGTTAGTGGTTTTGAAACAGTGAAATTTTCAAACCGCGGTATACCTTGAAACCGGTAATCGGCCCATGCCTACTTATGACCCTTGATTTACTGTGTCTCATTTTCAACTCTGTCCTAGCGTGTACTTTTCTTAACAATGTTGTAACATTGCATAATGACACTTTCCTTGTTATTCTCTCCTTAGGATGAGCCACTTATGGCGTAGCTTAGGCTGTTTAGATAAAAGTACGAATGTAAATGTGTGCCCTTGAGCTAGATACTAAACGATTAAATAATGCTAATAATGTTGTAGACAAAAACATCTCCAGGTTTTGTAATATAGTCCACCAAACAGAAGTCCACTCACTGGCTGTTTAGGTTTGGCTGATTAAGCCATTTGTTTGTTTGGTCATCAGGAAAGAGATCCCCTACACAATCCATGTACACCGCAGCATCACAGGCACAAATCGAGACTAAGAACCCCCGAGTGAACCTGCTGGTCAGTAAGTGGCAGCAGGTGTGGCTGCTGGCGCTGGACAGGAGGAGGAAGCTCAACGATGCTCTGGACAGACTAGAGGAAGTCAGTCATACATACACACCTGACCTCACACCTGTCTCAGACTCCTGTCAGGTGCCTTCACACTCATTTGCTTCTTATCTGCCCTCAGCTGAAAGAGTTTGCCAACTTTGACTTTGACGTATGGAGGAAACGCTACATGCGCTGGATGAACCACAAGAAATCGCGCGTCATGGATTTCTTCCGTCGTATTGATAAAGACCAGGATGGCAAAGTCACAAGGCAGGAATTCATCGATGGCATCCTATCCTCAAGTAAGAAAAGATTTCAAACCGTGTGTTGTTTAGGTCTAAAGTCTTTCAGGCTGTACCCTCAACGCCTCTCTGGTCCTGTAGAGTTCCCCACCAGTCGTCTGGAGATGAGCGCTGTGGCAGACATCTTTGATCGTGACGGCGACGGCTACATCGACTACTATGAGTTTGTGGCTGCTTTACATCCCAACAAAGATGCTTACAAACCATTAACTGATGCTGACAAAATTGAAGATGAGGTAAATGTTATCAGATTACTTTCTGGAAAGTTTTACGCAATAACTGGAAGTATTACGGATAGTGATTCTTGTAGTCGTTTTTATGATTTATGACTTTGTGTTTAGGTGACTCGCCAAGTTGCAAAGTGCAAGTGTCCGAAACGGTTCCAAGTAGAGCAGATTGGCGCCAACAAATATCGGGTAAGTGACAGATATTTCATGCTTTCTGGATGAGTCAAGAAAAAGATTCAGTATGGAACCCTAGGCCAATACAAGTGCAGAAGCCTGGTCATTGGTTCAGTGTTTTTCAAAAATAAAATTCACAAGTCCCCCAAAACAATCCCAGTATTATTGGTTGTGAAGTTGATGAATGAAATATATCAATTGTTTGTCATTTTACAACAAAAGTATCTAATGTTGTCAAATTTGTCAAAACAAGCATTCACCTCTGTGCTAGAAAAAAATCCTGCTTTTATTACAAAATATGTTGTTTATGTGGCAATAATATAATTGTATGTAACCAATCTAGCAAAGTTCATTTGGACATTGGCTGCATCCAAATGAAAAGGCCCTGATTCCTTGTATCAAAGCCGATATAAGGAATGTTTTGAGGACAGGATGGAAACATGAAGTCTGGAAAGAGTTCCACACACCCCTGTTAAACTGCTCCCCTACCCAAACCTCTCTGCCCCGACACTGCTGTTGCCAAAGAGAATGACTTCATTACATTTTTACGTGCCATTGCATTTTTCATTCTCTCAAGTTTGAGAGTTTCCCCCCCGGTCCCCTTCTCTCCAACACTCCTAATAAACAGATCCCGTAACATTTGGTCACAGACAGCCATTCTGTTACTGCCCGTAATCTGAGGGAATAGTACTGACTGGCTGGAGGCCTGTAACTGTGCCACTGGATGACAAGAACTAGAACTAGAACATCTTTTGTGATTTTTTTTTTGTTTTGTTTTCAAAAAATTTATTGAAATTTTATTGAAAAATGTATTGAAATTACATAATTTATTGTAAAAAACAAAAAGAGTGAACTGATATTTATTAATGTTTGTCTTTTCGCTTTTCCCCTCCACATCAGTTCTACCTTGGAAATCAGGTATACATGCACAGTGCTTTTTAAAGATTTTCTGTGCTGCCCTTTATGTTTTATCTGATTCACTGTCACTGTGTCTTTGAATTTCCAATATTTAAGACTGTCTTAAACTCACAAGCGGATAAGAATATTTAAAGAAGTTTTTAACTCTCTTCCCAAAGCTAGCCATTTAGTTTGTGGCATGGCTGTGTGCAAGTCTCCACTGGCATTGAAGCACAGTGGCTTGGGAAATTTATAAATACAGATGAACATTTCTACTTCCTTAATACTAAATGACACACAAAAAAAATGGTGTTTAGTGCTGATATTGCCTTAATATCTCTTATGTTGTGCCCTGAGTAATTTTAAGGCAGATTAATTTAGGTCTGAGTTAAACAAGCACAGATATTTGGGAAATAGTTTCTAGTCGACATGAAATCAACATTGAGCATTACTCAATCAATCAATTAATCAATAAAAATTTTTACAAAGTGTTATAACTTTTCTTAAACAACAGCCAAAGGCATATTAATAACATGTATTAATAATAAACAATTCTACTGTGTGTAGTTATTTATAGTTTACAACATAATGTAGAAACTTGGTGCAAACTTGTTGATGCAGTTTTTCTAAAATCTTGCCAGTAGTTAATACACTAATTTCATGACTGTAAATATATGCAGTGATAGGAATCAATTGGAATCTGTTCTACAGTTCGAGCATCAATTGTTCTACAGAAAAACAGCTTTTTTAGGGCATTTTAGGATGTTTTTATTTTTTAGAAACCATTTTTAGATTCAACTATCTGCTTTTGAGTTCAAATGCATTTCTCTCCGCAGCGTTGCATTCTGCTTTTTTATTATAATTTGCGACAGCTTTTGCAGCATAACACAGTATGCTTGCCTTCTGCTACCTGCTTAATTTATTTAAACTTATTTGAGTTCTTTTAACCACAGTTTGTGGCTGATGTTCAAACAAGCCAGAGCTTCAGGAGAAATTTTGAGCTGAAAGATGCATGATTCTCCCTACATAAAATCATGAGCTACATGCTTTCTCAGGGTGGTGTTTTGGGAAGATACAGTACGTGACTCTTAGCTGGTGGAGGGCTTTTATCGGGCAGGCCATGCAAACCTCATGTTTTTCTTCCTTTGTATTGAGAACTTTGTATCACATCAACTGAAACCATTCTTTTGACAGTTTGGTCTCGTTCACTGCTTACATGACCCCTTAATCGCCGATGAGACTTTAACAAACAGGGACAATCAAAATCTAACCCCCCATCTACACGTTGCCGTTTTGGAAAGCTGTATCCTGGTAAATGGTCATTCTTAAAGCCGTTTGTTGTGATTCTCTTGACTATTTCTCTTGATCATGCTTCAAAATTCATCTCCTCCTCCCCCCAATCACCAAATTCACCAATGGTATCGATTCACTCTGGGTATCACTTCTAGAATAAAGGGCTTGCAGGCCAGAGAGATGCTCAGCGGGTCACCATCAGTGTGTCGGTCATGTTGAGTTTCAGCGAGTCGATCTCAGCCATTCTTCCATATTGTGTGTGGTTGGAGTCGAGCATCAGTGTCAACACACGCATCCTCTATGAGAATGGTAGTTTGTAGTTCTAGACGGTGCAACTTCTGTATGCATATTTGGTTTGTAGAAAGACTTTCTCATATGGTATGATTTATATTTTCTTTTTGTTTTGTTTTTTGAACAGAAAGCATGAGGCCATAATTTTCTGTGCTGTGAAATCCGTATGCCTTGGCCATATCCAACTGGCAACAATCATTTGGATGCAACTCATTTGGCTTGTTGTTTTCTTTAGCTCCTATCTTTGGCATGGAGGGTGTAGGGGAATGCCGTAGAGTTATGCCCAAGTGTTCCCCTACGCAGGAAAACAGAGCCTCAGCAAGTGTAGAATGCACTTATAGCACACCCTAGTGGACACACTGATCACAGTCCTGTCCACCTTGTTTTAAAAGTGCACTAAGCAACTTTTTCTATTGTAATAAAGTTTCACGCATAAAGAAATTGATACAATTGTCAAATGTTTAACATGACGTTTACTCCCTTGAGATGAAGACTTGCGTAATATCAGTTTTATTACAAAAATTTAAATTCTTATATAAAAATACATGTCAATACTGTTTGTTTGGTTGTCATGAAGAGTAAAATAATTGCCTGTGCATATATAGGGCACTTTTGGAATCGATTAATCACAGGTGACAGATATGCCAGCAAATTGGATATTTCTGTAATGGTGTTTACATAGTGCTTCATCCAGGCCCACAGGTGGCAGCATAAGTTCTAGAACCACTGTCGAATCAGCCAGTAATACAAACTCTGAAATGACTTTGTGCACCTTTAATGACATACAGTGTACCACACCACCACACATGATCCGTCAATCATTAGCACAAAGCCACAAATGAAACCAGTTGGATTGACCACTCATTTCACGTCTTCTGGAATGAAACCAATGTTGTGTCTCAATCAAAATTTGTTTTGATCAAATGGCTCGGCAGGGCAACAAGAGGAAGCCAGAGATAAACACAACAGAAATAGCATCTAATTGGGATTAATAATGTTGTGATTTGACTCACTGCTTTTTCACCACACGTTTGATGGCTAGTTTTTTTTACTATTTTTAAAAAGGTGTTACAGGGCTGAGGTTTCTGATGTTGCTCTGCTGCGTGCCTGTCACTGACAAACATGACTGTATTTCAGCGGAATGACTGTGTTCTCTGTTCGTGTCCAGTTTGGAGATTCCCAGCAGCTGCGGCTGGTGCGGATCCTGCGCAGTACGGTGATGGTGCGGGTGGGTGGTGGTTGGATGGCCCTGGATGAGTTCCTGGTGAAAAATGACCCGTGCAGAGGTAATGTCCACTTGATGTTGAACTCAACTTCAGCTTGTGGTGTTCAGACAGGTCTATTAAATGCATTGATATTGTGCATAACAGAATTGTTCAACTTATTTATACACTGTATTTTACTCCCTCCAAGACAATATGTTGCAGACACAAAGGTTCTGTTCCAAAACCTAGTCGAGTTGCCTACATAGGCAGCATTTTCACACATCACAGACAAGTTCCCAATGCGACGGCAGTTTCCTTATTGTGCTGCTTTCTAAGATGCCTTGTAATTCCAAAAGCAGTATCGAATGAGTGCTTCATGGAGAAGGCAATCGCATATAAGCGTCGTTCAGCACTGAAAAGAATAAAACAAAACAGATCAGTGTAATTAAAAAATGGACCACTGGGTCACTTGTGAGGATCCATTTCATTTAAGATGCTGCTTTAGGAGGAACCTGCCAGTGTAGACAACAGAAAGCAATGCAGCTCATTAGGTTTTGGAACAGAATCCTAAGTTCCCAATAATTAAAGCAATTTAATATTTAGAAAGAGAATGTTACTGATGGATATTCTTATTTCTTATGTAGGCAGTAATCATTTGTTGGGGCTTAATCTTTTCTTCCTGCACTCTGTTTATGGGATTCTTAAAGCTTGCCACGAAGCCTTTCTTTCAGAATTTCCCTTTTCCTGCTGCTTTGTTAGTGAAACCAATTATCGTTTCTTCTAGTTCACCACCACGGGAGTAAAATGTTGCGCTCGGAATCAAATTCTTCAATTACTCAGTCTCCTATAGGTTGGCAACTCTCACACTTTCTCGCCTTGCTCCATCCCAGTGGTATGTGTGCATCCCAGTGTGTGTGTGTGCTGCAGTGATCCCTGAATGGTATTCTCATTAACATTAATCTCACGCTTCCCTTTCCATCGTGCTGTCTGGGACTGTTTAGCATGCGGTTTCGTGTTGCGTCATGTGTCCTCTCTCGCTTTCTCTGCATGTGCTTATTGTAGCTCTGTTGCAGTGCAGTGCATCTTGCTCGACAATCTCATCAATGCAGGATATGAATGATTCATCACATTAAACTGAACTATACACGATAAACCAAATATGCTAAATTGTTTTTCTAAACGGCAGTCTCTGAAGGTTAATCCCGTTTAAGCAGCATCAATGTTTTTCTTTTTCTTTTTACTATTAGATATTTTTGCCAGTGATGTGCAATGCATGCAAGTCATTCCCTACATCAAACCAAAGCGCAAAACTCTGAACTGTGTTTTGCTCATTTGAATGGGTGGCCATCATTCCCCAGCCTGGTTAAAGATACTTTCATAAAAATCAACCAAGATCAGAACCTTTAAATTGGCTTTCTGAAAAAAAGTCCCTGAAACTTGCTTTGAAGGAATGTTTTGGGGTCAAAACAAGTTGAGGTCTGTGAACAGCATATGTGGCTTTCTGTTGATTATAACAACAACAACAACAAAGCCTTGCCCCTCAATTTGTTTACAGTAATTAGGGTGGGGTGATTCAATTGATATAGACAACTTTACAGATCAAATAATAAACATTTTTACTCAATCGACTTGTTATCAATCGTTGGAACCACAGATGTTGGCCATAGACCTCAAGTTGAACTAAAGCCATAATATTCCTTTGAATTTCAGAGGCTTATTTTCTAAACCCATGTGAAAGGTTTTGCTGTGGTCTTGCCTCCCGGCTCATTGCACTATATGATCTTCCTCCAGCTAAGGGCAGAACCAACTTGGAGCTGCGCGAGAAATTTATTCTCCCAGAAGGCACCACCCAGGTGATGGCCAGTTTCCGCTACAGAGGTCGAAGGTCACGGCCGTCCTCAAGAGGTGCCTCCCCTAACAGATCCAATTCTAGTTACAGCTGTCCCGCACAACCCAACCCACCCGGCTCCAGCACACCCAAGGTATGGATATTGTTGATTAGAAATAAGTAACTTCTCCATGTTTTTGTCACAATTTTCCTGTCGCCAATCATGAAGCTTGGTTCCAAAACCTAGTGAGCTTCTTTGCTGTCCGCTGACTACATAGGCAGCTGTTTTGTAAGGCAACAACCTGACTGAAGTGAAACCATAAGCACAGGTCAACAACTCGGTGCATAATACAAATAGCACATGGGAGACTCGAGTCAAGGTTGTTTTTAAGAGAGTTTGGTCACAGACTGTATATATACCAAGATGGTTCAGATATTAATTTGAATAGGAGAGAGTGCAACCCGCAATATGGAGGAACAAGTCCCGCCTTCTTTATAAAAGCGCCAAATGGCAATTGGTAAAGTCTTCATGTCACTGCAGCTGCTGTTAGGAGCCAGTCAGTGTCCTGAGACACTTACCAACCAGAAATATACACTTTTTAATGCTGTTTGAGCAAAAGAAACAACATTTATGGGGCACTTCATTTCAGATTGTATTGCTGATTTAATATATGGCACTTAAATGTGAGTTTGATAAGCAGTTTTTGAGATTTCAATATTTTCCCATTTAAGTATCTAAATAAAAATGCCAAAATGTGGGTTATGCACAATAACCACTCAATATGACTTCATAGTAGATACTAAAGATGAGCATAACCCATAGCCATCGCATATCCAGGTTTTTTTTTTCTTCTTCTCACTAACATTTGGATAATAAAATCAAAGAATAAAAAGGACTTGAGCATAAAAAGACATAGCACACTTTAACTATTTTTTATCAATATTTAGAAGTATTCATTCAGCATTAAATGAATTCTGTTTAACTTTTGAATTTCTCATGTTATTTTTCATATCAAATGGCAAAAAGAAGTTATTTTGGAAGGCAGCATAAACCTCTTTTGAGGTTAGAGAGGAAGAGTGTATCTATGACATCTTAGAATGCTGTCTTATGTGGGGAGCTCACTAAGATTTGGAACAGAGCCATGCATAGCCCCATCACTGATATATATAATTATTTCCTGTATTGTCTGTCTTTTTTTTCTATTGCTACCCTTCGTATGTGGTTTATCCACAATTGTTTCTCACAGACTCCCCAACATTTAACCCGCAATTATGATAAACCCTGGCTGACAAACAGCAAATCAGCTACTCCTCTTAAATCATCTGACTCCTTTGACAGCCAAGGGTCATCCAATGAGGTATAGTGCTTAAGAAACGAGTGACAAATCCCCATCTAATCTCCGTCTCCTGCTCCTGACCTCTGTCTTTGCCTTGTTACTGATCTAATTGCTTCCTGTGTGGATTGGGGATTGAGTTCAATCTCTTTCTCTGGCTTTGCAGTGATGCATGGAAGTGGTCCGTTATTAAGGCGGATGTGTTTGCTTCAGTCCTCTAATTCATGATCTTTAGACCTCTCTTTCGCAAAGAGGGTGGTGTGATTGTCTTAAATCAAATCAGCTTGATATACAAAGGCCTTTTCTAAACATCACCTTCAAGCACTAACTGCAAAATGAATATTTTTCTGTCCTCTTGCCACTAAAACGTGATGCTTGTGAGATCTTTTCTACATCCTGAACTCTAAAATGATTTCTTCTCTTTCTCCTGATGTGTATGACTGGTTTTGATTCCGCGTAGGCAGTATACTGTAATTTTCTTGTCTGGCGTGCATTTATTCAGTCATTCTGGCCATGAACTGCACACACTGCAACGTTTTGGGATGAACAAACACATTTAGATGTGGGAGTGATATGAAATACAGAAGTCACTCCTAAACCAACCTCTGTCGAGATAAATGTTTCAGTCAGGGTTTCTTTGTGCTTGCTTTCGTCAAATGTGTTTCAGTGCAGTTTCATTGCCAGCATGTTAGAGCAGAAACCCACTGAGTGTATCTGCATCTTAGAAAGCTCCTCTTGGCCAAAGGTTGCTGTTTTTATTTGTGTCAGTGAACAGTCTGTTACATGCCTCCTCGTTGTCCTGATCTAATAGTTTCTAAATCATGACATCTTACAGAGCACCCCTATTCAGGGAAGCAAGCTTCGTCTTCCAGGCTATTTGTCAGGAAAAGGCTTTCAGTCGGGAGAGGATGGGACCTTGATAAACGCTGCAGTCATGAAGGCCAGAGGTCAAGCCATGGGTGAGTCCGACACACCTTCTGCTCTTCATCAAGTCTTGCTGCTGCTACTGTGCGATATATTGAACATTCACAAAAAAACGACACTGATTTTATTGGACTCTGGCTTTGCTACACTTCATGTCTCTTGTTATTATGAGACTATAAAGATCAGTTTCTGTTTTCAGATCCGTCAAGTATTCAACTATGCATCACCCAAAAAAGAACACAGAGCAATATTTTTAAATGTTATGTTAAAGAAATATTTAGTTAAATATTGCTGTCTAATATGAATAATAATATGTGAATATAATAGAGCTGCCCCCACCTAAAGTGATTTCTGGTCGACTAGTAGTCGTCCATTTAAGCCATTAATCGCATGTTTAAATTAATTTAATTACTTAATTACTTGCGTTTAAACGCACGTATATAACTTGCCACAAAGCACCCACAAAAGTAATGACTATGAATGTGTTGGGGAAAATAGCCAGGAGATATAATTATTTATTAATAAACTAGTGTTTTCCCAGTCAGTATGTTGGCTGCAAAGATGTTGACGTTGCTGTACAGTGAACGCACAGAAATGCACCTCCCATACGGATTACGAATTTGTTTTCGATTTAAATTGGTTCGTTCAGAAGTACAAATTTCAAGCTTTCTATAGATATATTTCTCCTGTCTGTGAGGCAAGTAGCCTATAAGCTGAGTTTCGGTTCATTTTTGTGACGTGCTCCAGTGCACAGAGACCGAGACGGCACAAAGCGCATCCTGTTTGTTTTCTCTATTTTACAATAGCACAACGTCTTGTTGATATTGTGAGGGTACGAAAATAAAGTTGACAGTTTCGAATGATGTATTTCTTGTATCTGTATAAGCAAAAATGACTGCATATTTTAAGTTGTTTTCGCGGTTATCAAGAAAAAAATCGTGCCGGTGTCATGCAGAAAGCATGCTAATAGCTTCCGCATTCCACACAAACACTTAGCGGCCATGTAAATTTGCTACTTCTTACATGTTTCAGTTTCAAATGATAAGTCATATTTGAGGTCGATGAATGACAGGCGAACGTTTGGATTTCCTGCCCGATATACTGTAATTATCAAAAGGACCTGCCGTTAACCATCTGTCCCTCACAAATTATGTGACTTTGATTGTTTTTTTCTGTGACTAACCATCTAATAAACTTTTGGTTGAATAAGCCTCTTCTCATCGACTAAAGTTTATTCACCTTTATTCACCTTTATTTATATAGCGCTTTTAACAATACAGATTGTGTCAAAGCAACTGAACAGCATTAATTAGGAAAATAGTGTGTCAATAATGCAAAATGACAATAGAAAAAAAATGTTTTTTAATCATTTATTTAGTGAACAGCAGTGTATAAAACATGATTTTTCTGTATTTTACTTTTGGATTAAAGATTTTGAATCTACATTTGTCAATAGTGGTTGTTTGGATGATATGATTCTAGTTCTTTTGGGAAACAAAATCTAAATGCATATCAAACATAATTAAAAAGCTTAAAAACTATCAATAAATACTTTTTTTTAATCTTAGTGATGAGCCATTATGTGGATGTCAGTATCATAGCTCTGAGATGTAACTGGCTGTGAATTCTCTTCTTAGGGTTGAGTAAGATCCCAAGCAGGCCTGGCAGCAAAGCAGGAAGCCGCGGGAGCAGCCGCCGTGGCAGCGATGCCTCAGACTTTGATATTTCAGACATCCAGTCGGTGTGCTCGGACGTGTCGGAGACAGTGACAGACTCAGGACGCCCGATGCCGCGCTCAGCCTCACGCCAACACGGAGGCAAACACTCCAAAATCCCAACTCCCCAAAGGAGGAGCACTCCTACTAGCAAACTGGCTAAGAATACCAAGAGATAGTCAACAGTCCAGTCCACAGAAGCGGCCAGGATCTGGGCCTCTGTTCTGACAGCACTGGGTTAGCGCACACTAAACCGAGACTGGACAGACGTAGATTCACACTACACACTGCAAAGTGTTATTGATTTTAAAAAGCGTAGCAAGATGTAAATTATTCTGTTGTGGAAAAGGAAGTTCATGTGGAGTGTATGTGTGTGAGTGTGTGTGTGGAATGCAGTGGCTTTGTGCATTTGTCCTGTACTTTGTGACTGTTGCGTCATTAATATTTTGTTTATTGCTGGGAAAGGCCAGCGAACACAAGAAGACTATGTTAGGTAAACTAACACTTTTCCACATGTTTGTGTTGAGGGAGAAGCTGAATGTACAGTCATTTCCTCCAGCGGACTTGCTTGTTGGTGATAATATGCCTTTGTATTCTGCCAGGACACCACAATTATTTATTCATCTATTTAAAGTGCAATGACAAGCTGCTGTTATGCATTTAAAGGGCAATACAATACCACTGCTACACTACAACTGTAACCCCTGCTATCATACACTACAGTTAATCCAGATCATGGCCTTTAAACTTGCATATAAAACACCCGTCTAGCACCCGTAGTAATGTTCGTTTCGATCAAATCACAGATTGCGTGCCACTTTACTGTGACTAGAACTTTCTGACTAAAAACATTCATAAGTGCAATCATGCCTGTGTACTCTATGGTTCCTTTTTGCCTGATTGATCCAAATTACTCAACTTTTTGTAATAAATATGCTTGCAGAAAGCTCGACAATATATACAACCTTCAAAGTCTCACTTGTTGTTTCCATCTGTCCAACCTATCTGACTAACATCCGAACAAAGACGCATTTTGACTGAGTCGCATTTACGCAAAAATGTCTCAGGCCTGCGATTAACAAGTCTTAAAGGGATAGTTCACCCAAAATGAAAATTCTGTCATAAATTACTCACTGATGCCACATGGACTATTTTAACGATGTTCTTACTACCTTTCTGGGCCATGAAACGTTTCAGTTGCATTGCTATCTATGCAGGGTCAGGTTCATCAAAAATATCTTAATTTGTGTTCCAAAGATGAACGAAGGTCTTACCGGTTTGGAACGACATGAGGGTGAGTAATTAATGACAGAATTTTCATTTTTGGGTGAACTATCCCTTTAAGAAGAAAATAAAACATTTTATGAGACTAAAGTGCATTGTCAGCCTCGTAGCCTGTGGCAGTCCCTTTGCCAGTAAATAGGACAACAAAAAAAAATCTTGCGTAAAGATGCCAGATGGTCTTTAATGTTGTTTGGATTAATGTTAGTATGTGGGAGTGTAATCAGATGAGGTGATGTGAGGTCAGTGACGCCGTGGAGTTAATCCTCAACATCCTTCTATAGGATACGGAAACCTAGCCCTGCACGACAGCAGACAGCAGGGAGAGAAAAAAAAAGGTCATTTTGATATGGTTTTTGTCAAGATCTACACCAACACTTACCATTTGATCAGCTAATCCTTCTCAACACATATTCTCTCATATATAAGTGTTTGATTTATCTCCATAAGATCTGCCCAAGTAATTTAGTGTGTTTTCCCCCCATTAATATGTTAACTCCAGTTTATACATGTTTAAAGAATGTTTATTCATTTTTCATTGTTATAAAACACATTTATTTTCTTAAAGCCATTAGCTTTATTTTTAAACATCATTTACTGTAGTGTTACAGTTTCTGTCATATAACGTTTCCTATATATATATATATATATATATATATATATATATAGCCACTTTATTTTCAAGTCCTTTCATTGTTATAAAACACATTTATTTTCTTAAAGCCATTAGCTTTATTTTTAAACATCATTTACTGTAGTGTTACAGTTTCTGTCATATAACGTTTCCTATATATATATATATATATATATATATATATATATAGCCACTTTATTTTAAAGTCCAGTTCTTACTACTAACTATCAACTATGACTTTTGCCTCAGTAAACTCCTCATTACTGCTAATTAATAGTTAAAAAGGTAGTTGTTAAGTTTAGGTATTGGGTAGGATTAGGAATGTAGAATATGGTCGTGCAGAATATGTGCTTTATAAATACATAAACATTACTAGCATATAAACAACCAACATTCTAGTAATATGCATGCTAATAAGCAACTAGTTAATAGTGAGAATTGGTCCCTAAACTAAAGTGTTACCAAAGTCAACAACTGCAATAAGATAAGACATACGTTGACTAAACAGAATTACAATAATGAAGTAGTGTACATCACTGGGGGAAGAACCGATTATTCTAAATGTAGGTGGATAACATCTCTTCTACGTGATTATATAGAAGTTCCCGATTGTCTAGTTTCGACACAATTTCCAAAAGCTGGAGTGCAAGGTACTGCGTTGCTATAATGAGTGTTTTTGAGGAGGAACTAATCAGTGCATTTGGTAAAGTTGGCCAGGTTAGTGACATCAATGTGACTGCAAACACCTGTAGCTCTAGACTGGGAGCCGTCCTGCTTGAGCCTCAAGGTGGACGGGTAAAGCCAGGCATTCACTAACCACTCTAAAAATGAAAAAGAATGTCTAGCTGCAGTATGGGCATGTGACAAGGTGTTTTATTGGGTACTCATATGACATACAACATTACCATCCAGACTGATCATAAACTTTGGGTCGTTGATTAACAACAAGAATGCTGATGTGAAGCCCCTCTCAACACATGCTGCTGAGAATGATACCGCAATGCTGTGGGAGAATATGCACCCGGAAAGCTTCTGCTTGTTTCTGACAGTCACTCCCATCATCACCAGCATTACAGCTGCTTTAACAAATGACAAAAAGGCCAAAATGAATCAACGCATGTCAAGGCCTGTGTTCCATTTAAAATTATCCATGTTCAAAAGAAGATCACAAATGGTGATTCATTATGTGAATGCAGGCTGGCCTAATTATGTCACCAGTTTCCCAGAAAGCATTAACAGCTGTTTCTCAACTACAGTAAAGATGTTCTCACCACATCCGATGGTTTAGGACTTTATGTTGATTACACAAGTCCTAAGGGATGAACTGATATGATTGCCGTGAGCATCCCGGCAGAGTGGATGATAGCCGGTGTAAGGCAATTCAAAAGAGGCCAAATCTGTAACGACACTCTAAAAAATGCTGGGTTAAATACAACCCAGTGCTGGGTAAAATGGGGACAAACCCAGCAATGGGGTTGTTTTGACCCAGCGGTTGGGTTACTACCCAGAAGGTTGGGTTAAACATTTAACCCAACCGCTGGG